AAATTCATACAAGTCAGTTCAAGATTCCCTAAACCTCTTCTGCTACCTGTACTAGTTTCTGTGGCTCCTGGATTAAAAAGATGCCCATGTATAATTCTCAGATATCATGTTGTAAACATGTTTGGTGCTAGCTCTAGTGGAAATCATTTGAGCTTTTAACTTGATAAAAACACTGAGTCAAAGCATGGCAAAATGCTGTTCTAACTGTTTGATGAGCAGTTGTGTATCTACATGATCTGGAAATGCTTCTTTTGACTTCTGAGCAGCTATGTAACTCCTCTGGAGATCCCCAACCTGCAAGAAACAGATACATGAACTGTCTAGACACAATCATTGCAGTATTTATTGCATAGCCTCTGAGCACTATATATTTTGGTCATGATGCTTCTCCCACAAATGTTTATGAATCTGATCCCAAGGCTAAAAAAATAAATGATAGAGGCCCACACACTAATGCAAGTGAGGGTTACTGGATGGAAAGGGACACGGTACAACAGGAGCCTTCCATGTCATTTCCATACCACACAACACAGTGCCATGACTATTTCTTCAGAAACGTTTTTGGAGGGAGAATTTGAGATCAGATGACCAGGGTCCTGGCTAGAGAGCCTGTGACTATTTGTAAACCATTGTTTTAAATTAGTTATTTGGGACTAGCAATCCAATTTTACCTAATTCAGGTGCAACTTCTATAGGTACCAACTATGTAAATAGGCCATGTGCATGGAGCAGGTTTTGGTCCTCTGTGGGCATGTCTACATGTGCATTAATGCGCTGTTGTTACTGCACATTAAGTTTAGTACCTCTAATATGAGGTATTAACTAAATGCACAGTAACCAGAACATGGTCTTTTTGTGATGCTTAATGCGCAGTAGACTAATTTTGCTGTGACACACTAATGCACAGTAGAATTGGTCTACCGCACATTAAGTGTATCATGTAGATATGCCAATGAAGTACGGAGAGTCATTGGCTGTCTATACACATGCTCGGAGGTGGGGGGGTAAGGAGGGTGTTTTCATTAGACAGGTTCCCAAATCGCCACTCTAATTAAAAAGGCTCACCAACAAGCTTTAGTTAAAGCACCCCTGTGGTCATTTTGAAACATGGCAGGCTTAACACATGTGATGCTGGAGTGTTCTAATTAAAACGCTAACGAGCATGTCTATAGGCACCCATTTTTACACTGTACCTTGTGCTTCACACTGGAGAGGGTATATTTAATAATTAGGGGGTTATTTTTACTTTGATACTTATACATAAGCCTCTAACATCAGGCATCCCAGCACTTACTAAAGAGTGTAGCCTTGTATCTAAATTTACAAGGAGGTAGCCAAGGCAAATAAATACCTTACAGAACTTGAGAACCTACACAAGCTGCTATTTTTAATGCTACTGAGGATGTCATAGATTTTGGACTTGAGTTTGACAGAAGTCTGAGTTCTCGGGCTGAGTTCATGCTGTCGTTTGTCTCCTAATCTTAACCCATAACATAAATGTTGTATCTGGAAACTTTTCAACAGAGAACAGTTCTCTGGCTATGGACAGACATAACATTTAAAATGTTTTAAATGGCTATCATACAGACACATGTGCCCAATAAAAGGCTCTGAAGCATGGCAAAAATGTACCTGCTGCCTCCAGGTACTACTTTGTACTATTTCATTTTGGAACGTGTACTTTAGGTTGGTCCTCTAGGCATCCCACAATGCAGTGGTCCCCCACTGTCCCTAGTTTCATAGCACTCTGGCTGTAACAGTGCCAGGAGTACTGATTGGTGAGCAGGGAAACAGAGCCATAGGCCCGGCCATCCACCTATTGCAGTCTCTGTCTGGAGAGCACCATTGCTATGTGCTGGCACAATGCTTTTCAAGTGCGCTGGGAGGGTTACAGCAGGGGCTGTACATCTGTCCACAGCTGAAACCTTCTATTTCTGAAAATTTTAAAGCCCCATCACACTGAAATCTTTCAAATATTATGAGTGTCTGTGCCCATAGTCTTGCATTTCTTTTCTAACTACCTTTTGCCAACTTATCTTTTAATTCAGTAACTGAAATGCCTCCTATGACAAGGTAAAAAGCAAAATTCAAAGGCATGCAAGCTTAAAAACAGAACACTCTTCTAGTCAATAAAATGTGGCACAAATCATAGAATCAGAGAAGTGGGCTGGAGGGGACCTCCAGAGGTCTAGTCCAACCCCCAGCCTGAGGCACAATCATCCCTAATCAAACCATCCCATAAAAACCATAATCTAAACTCTACATAAGGTTACCATCAACCTCGACACAACACAGGCCTAACACCCTAACCTGCCACAGGTAAAGTGGGGGAGCCACAGCAGCTAATGTTTTACTTCTGTGAAATGTAGTCAATATAAGCTCAAGAGATCCTAGGTAGAGGCCGTGCCCCCCACTACAGAGGAAGGCAAAAACCCCACAGTCCATAACAATCTGTCCAGAGGGTAAAATTCCTTCCTGACCCCAAATATGGTAATTGATCTGACCCTGAGTGGAGTGGCCAGACTTGCTAGCCAGTAACCTAAATAATTAACATTACTTAATTATTAACTAAATTATTTTTAAAAATGAAATATTTGTGTTTCACTAAGCTTATGCAACAGTAATAGAATTATTAAAGTATCTGTAAAACAAACATGATCAAAAGAAAGCTTTGAATGACACTCTCAGTTCAAAGTCCCTCTCTGTTACAGTATAGATGTACCAGTATTATCTAAAGGTTAGACATTTTGTGTTTCTTTCTCTACCTCTTCAGAATCTTGTTGCATGAAAACCAAGATTTGTTCAGCTTTTAGATAACAGAAGAATAAAATAGCATGTTACCTTATCAGAGAGTGTTGCAAAATTAAAATGGGGCTCATACATATGAGGTGCTAAAGATGAAGCAGTCTGTAGCAAAGCTCTTGCCTATGTGGATAAAAGCAAAAATATAGTGAAACACATGGATTGAGGGGGGAGGGGAGGAGGGATGTGAAGAAACAGCAGAAGGATAAAATGAAAATAATCTGTTCTGTAAGCACACTGTACTGTGTTTTCCCCATAAGCCTTTACTAATAATGCAGTTTTCAAATATACATGAGCAACACTCTCTAGTACATGCAGCATAATATAGTTTAATAAGATTGAAATTAATGAAAGCCTTGGCTGAGTTAGCAGGACAGGAGTGGATCCTTAATTATATAGGCAGTGCAGTACTAAATATCAAATAAAATAAATTACACATTCCTCCAGGAAAATTGATTTTAATTCCTACTGGACCTGGAAGTTACCCTGTCTTAAACACTGCATAATAAAGTAATAAGAGTTCCTTAAAACCTAAACTCTTATCCTTTGAAAAGGATGATTTCAGATGTCTTAGTAAATATATTCCCATTGGGTTTAAGAGATTTTCTCCATTTATTTTGCTATTACTTCCCTCCAAAACAGAGTGTTGTAGGTCAGAGGCCTGACCTGGATGAAACAAAAATGAACACGTATCTGATATTATGCCATTCCTCCTCCATTCTCCCAGCAGCTTTGTTCCTCTATATTGGTAGGAGATTTAAATTGACAAGAATTCTACTCTACAATGTTTGGAGAGCAGATTTCTCATCACTTTGTCTCCTGGGGGCTCACAAGAATGGATTCAGCAGGAGAACTGAAGGATGGCAAGATGTGCATGTAAGCATCCACACTGCCAAATGACCCAGCATTCTGGTTTGTTCAGCTTAAATAGCTAGGATATTAAGACTTCTGGCAAGCTGACAGCAAAACCATTTTATGGTGGGGGAAGCCTTTGGGGAACAGATTTTTAAAACAAATTGTTAAAAGGATTTTTTTGAAGTTGTCAGACTTGACAGGGTACTATTAAATATTGAACAGTCTGCTCAGTAGCCATCAGGCATCATCCTCCCCACTGAGAAGTGAGTTAGTATTAAATCTAATGAAAACATTAAAGCAGTACAACAACTATGCCTAAATAAGGATACAGGGTGCTGCAAGTAATGCCACAATCATAGTGCAACAGAAACGTCAACTTGTGATTCATCTGTTTTCTTATAAGAACTTTGTTGGCATGTGAAATAAAAGGTACTCTCATCAGAGAGGCTTCTAAGCAATAGATGGCTATTTTTGGGGTGGTACAGGGAGAGGCCGTGAATTTATTAAACCTTAACAGTATGATTTGGTACCAAATTTTACACCTTTGCAAGCATCTCCCAACAGTCAAATTGTTCCATACTTTGAACAATTCTGTAACTTACTGTTTGTCAAATATAGCCAACTTTGGCTACCATCCTAGAAAAATGTAATAGCTTCAAATGTTTAATTATTGAATTTTATCATCATTAGATAGCCCTAAACATTAGCCAGTTATTCCTTTGCTATTCAATTTAATAATGTTGTCAGCAAACTCATTGTGTATTTTCTTTTCTGTCAGATCTATTTCCTTGATGCTTCAAGGAAACAATTAACTACAAAACTAACAGCTGCAAAATTTTATGGATTACATAGGCCAGCAAATTTTTCACCATTACTGCCATTGCTGTTACACAACACACTAAGTAACGAGAAAAAGTTTGGTCTATACACACTGTAATGAAATACATTTATATGGGTAGAAAAACAAAAAAATAACATTATGATTGTCATCCCTTGTTTTCAAGTTGTAGACACCTGCTACCTCTCCCACTGTGACTACATTTGCGAGTCTAATGTTTGTATGTTGTCTGAATATGAAACAAACTAAAACTGCACTTCATCTGTCACAGTATATATCACTTGGAGGATATACTTAAATGTTACCTTGGTGATTGCTAGAATACTTGCTGCTTAGAAGGCAATTTACATAAGTACTGTACATCATACTGTAGTTCATGTATGCATCATAAATCCAGCAGAGCAGTTTTGCAGCTAATGCAAAAAGATTAATAGACCCTACTGAGGGCCTAACTAGGGTGCTGCCACAGAGTACTTAAGGCACTTTGCTCCAGAATCGGGAGGCAAATTTAAGCCTGGTTTTGGGCTCACTGAAGGCTGTTTTCCCCCCACTTCTCTGAGCCCCATCCCTTCACTGCCCTACTCATCAACCCACACCTGGAGGTGCTGGGGCAACCAATTCAGTCAGAAATGCTATTTATATTACTTCTTTGGTCTGCTGCTTATTACACTATCTGGTGTGTAAGCCCATTGGGGACTATCCTGATTACTTCTGCATGTAAACTGCAGGAAAGTCAATGGCATGTGTATCACTACATACAGATACATGCAACATGCTATATAGATTGGGCAAGCTGAGTAAACCAAGCTCTCATTGACTTCAGAGATGCTAGAAAGAGCCTTGCCTGAAAGCATACAGTTTCTGTAAAACCTGTCATTTTTTTTGGATTACTACACACATTCTCACGTGAAAACATGTTATTATTTAGTTATGTTCAGGGTCCCAATGGTACAAAGGTACCCGTAAAATGGTGGCTGTCACTGTATATAAATTTCTATATATATAATTTCCAGTGCAATAGCACAGGCTGTTATTAGTGTTGGGTTTTCCATGGTACTCCATATAAAAAAAATACAATTTATTTAAGAGACTGATACCAAAGTTCAGATTTCTGGCTGTTAGTGACTTTCCTCTTCAGTAACGCATACTGAAAGCCTTGTCACTTACATTTCACAGAGATGCTCACTTTCTATCTCAGCCAACAACCTGCATTCTATCGGGGTGCCTACTCCATTAAATTATCCATGGGATAATTTGGATGCTCTGATTATTCAGACCACACAATTTTAATCTTTTTTTTTCCTTTCTGGGCTACCATTTTTACTTATTTTACAAAAAAACCCACTAGTTTCCCCATCATTGTCAACTGTGTGTTCCTGTTGGTGAAAAATCTTGCTAATGCAAATAGATGGGACACCAAACTTAGAAACAAGGTTTATTCCCCCAAATCAGGAGCCAAATTCCTTTGACAGCTTGGTCATTTGGGCAGTTCTGACCAGTCAAACTTAAGAAAAATTTCAAGAATCAGTGTGAGGGGAAAGCCCACTTACATATTTTAGGCTGGCAAGGCTGCCATGAATGCTGGCCAGGTAACTTGCAACATGATCATCCCGAGTCACCAGACTGGGAGGATGGTTGCCCAGATATCCTGATCTGAACCTGGCATCGTTTCCCCGAGTGTGCTGTCTGATTAAATGCTGGTGCTACTTACTATTAGGCAGTCAGCCTCACTTGTGTGTTCTTCTGTGAACCAATCAAGTCCCTGTCACTAAGCCTCATTTTTCTCCCCTGAGGGCTAACCTGCTGCAAGTTCTCCCATGTGGAGTAGCAAGCTAAATCTGAACATTAAAGATAACAAAAATTCCCTGAGTTACAGTTGCTAGGACACCACTAGCACTGTTCGTCTTTAACTAGCACCTGGTCTATCAGAACAGGGAAAGCCAGTGTGGCCTGCTATGAAGATCCAAAGGCTCTCTCAAAATGTGTGGCTGAGCTAGACTTCACCTCCAAGCAAGTATATCTGACTGATTTTTCACTCACCTCAAACTAAATTTCCCTGAGAGCAAGGCATTGCATGAGGTTCAAAACAAGTATAGATTTAAAGTTTGACACCAACCTGCTCAATGTGACCTTTTCGCATCTCCAGAACAGCCAAGTTGTTGTAAGCTTCTGCATGGTCATTGTTACTGGCTAGGGTAAGCTTGAAGCACTGGTAGGCCAAGTTCAGGTCCCCTATTCCCTAAAAAATAAGTTTTGTTTGTTTACTCATCAAAAAGTTGAATGTTATATATATTTTAGGTTGTTTAGAAGATCATTTAATCGGATTTGCTGTTGTAGAATAAAATATTAACTTCAATAAAAACAAGAACTTTCTTACTAGTTGTTCTCATGTATCTGTTCTTTCCTCCCTGTATAGAAGAAAGTGGTCTAGGAGTGCTGCTTGCACTGTGGTTAGTGCAAACATCAATACCTCCTGTTCACTAATGTTTCTCTATATTATTAATGCAAGTAATAAAAATGTTAGGTCACCTTGAAACTGGCACTGGCAAATACCTACATCATGGTATGTTTTAAATTCTAGGTAAGTCAGACTCTATTTAAGGGTCTCCTCCTAATCCGACTGACCTTAGTCAAAGCACAGTCAGGACCTAAATAGTGAACACATAATAACACAACAGCAGCATTACTTGGAAGCATATTTTAAGGCATTGTGTAACCCAGTTTGGTGTTCTCTTTCAAAATGAAAGAATTTTACCAAGAAAGCTGCGAAAGCTCTAGTTAATGAACATAGACCAATAAGTAGCATAAACAATTTTATGTTTTATATTTAGAAATTTGTATTTAAACTGTAAATTTCTGTTAAGAAAGTAAACAGTAACAAATCAGAGGTACACATGCCTTTTCATTAAGGCAGCGTTGGGTGGTTCAGAGAGGCACAAGCTTTTGTAGGCAGCAACCTACTTTGTCGGATGCTACGAACGGACTTTTCAGTTTGGAAAGGAGAAGGCTGAGGGGATATGACAAAGGTCTATAAAATCATGAAAGGTTGTAGACCTAGTGAACAAGGAACTGTTGTTCACTAAGTCTCAGCATACTAGAAGTAGGGGGCATCTACTGAAATGAGTAGGTGATGTTTTTAAAACTAACGAGAAAGTACTATTTTATACAATGTGTAAACTTGTGGAATTCATTGCTACAGGAAGTGATAGAAGCAGACAGCATTGCCAGGTTCAAAAAGGGACTGAAAAAATTCATGAATGAATGGCTATTGAACAAAATGGTTGAAGATGTTTTCTTTGGCATCTCTAACCCAATAAATGGTGGATGCCAGGGAAGGTACCAAATAAGGGATAGACTGCTTTACAGATGTCCGGCTCAATGCTCTCCCCCTGCAGCATCCACACCTGCCACAGTCAGAGATGGGGTACTGGACTACATGAACCATTGGTCTGACCTAATACGGCACTTCTTATGTTATGACTTGCAGAAAGCAAGTGTTCTGGGGTTCTGCTTTCTTAAGTCCATTCATAGCACTTGGTGAAGTAGGCTGGTGCCTGTGAAAGCTTGTGCCTCTCTGAACATTTGTCTCTAAGGTGCCACCATCCCTTGCCTTCTGCCTGACTGCAGACTAACACAGTTAACTCTCTCTCCTGCCTTTTCATACATTACTCTCAGTTCTCATTATATTTCCATAAAAAAATATATCCTACAGCATATGGCACTATAAAACTCTCATCTCTGTTAAGAAGTAGCTGCATTTTAATTTTCTGTTTCTCAAGTGGGATGGCACTGGAACAAGTTCCATCAAATGCAGTTTTGTTTGGATAAGGGTGTTTATTTCAGCAAGATGTATGCCAGGCTCTGAAAGAATGAAAAATTATCCTCTCTTTGGTGTTTTTCTGTGTTTTGAATTGATGGTAAACCCATAACTACTACATGATATAGTTTATTCTGTATTATATCAGACTTTAAACTGTACTTTCTTTATATTAACACATTCAGTCTATCATACCAATTCCTGCTATAGCATTATTATAGTTTTATAGAATGAAAAAAACACTTAGAAGATATTTCAAATATTCATACCACAGCCACGTGTCCCAAATTGTACCAAACATCTGCTGCCTCCTCCTCATTTTCAGCTAAAGAAAGTGCACGTTCAAATGAGGTCAGAGTCATGTCATATTGCTGGGCATAGAAGCAACAAAGTCCCAAATTGTTGAAAAGTTGGCAGTTATAAACACCCATCTGCAGGAGCCGCCTGGTTTGAGAGACCATATTTGTTGTTTTATTTATTTTTTTAAGATTAATTGCAAGAATGAATTCCATTCAAAATAGAAAGACTCCTCCCCACTCCTGCCCTCACCATGTCTCACTCTACCCCAACAGGATTAGGAAAGACTAGGCATATTACCTAACAATACTTTGAACTAAACCAAAAAAATAATAATTTAAAGCACGTGTGAATTAAAAAAAAAATCTGTAGTTAGTCTTTTGCTTGGTAAAGATGTATCATTTCTGTCTTGTCCCTTCAGTAGACTTATTTTCTGTGAACAGAATCAGATTATGCAAATTTTTCTGTGAAAATTATAAAGTAGAACACTTTGGCATTTCAAATATGTTGGTTCATTTGATTTTACTTTAAGTCATGAGTTTTGGCTATATCCTTGCCCTGATCCATCTTTTCTTTTGGCAGCTTTACCAGCTGAGCTTTATGAAGTTTTAATGGGCTACAGTCACTTCTTTTTACACTCCAGGGTGCTGGACCATGGTGCTTTTCAAAAGACCTTGCAACTCTTAATACAACCTGTCATGTGCCTCCTGAATATGAATGGAGGTAAGAGTTGGATCCTATGGCTGCTTACAGAGGTTAACACCCCACCCCCTAAGCCCCAGCACTTTAAAATTGGTGTGCTCCCATGCCAAGCCCAGCACATACCCAGAAGAGGCATCACATCAGTTGGCCTGGCTCACCCAACGTTTGTATAAATCAGGCAATTTTATAGAGCTTTTTTGGAACTTTTATCTAAAAGATGATTGAATCAGCTTCAGATAAAAGTGTCAAAAAGCCCCACTGAAGCACCTGATTGATACGGACGTTGGGCAAGCCAAGTCCAACTAACGCAATGCCTCTTCTGGCAAAGCATAAGGTTTTTTTGGAAGGGGGGGAAGGGGAGAGGGGTGTTGAAATCTGTAAGCAGCCTATGTTTCCAGATCACACCATACTTTTTTAGTCCCTTCTCACTTTTTTTTTTTTTTTTAATCAGTCAGGTAATCAACAATTGTGATACTTTTGTGTTTTGTTTTTTATTTTGTATGTATAAAATGCTTAAATATAACTACCATATTATTAGTATACAAGATGTTTTAGAGTAGACTTGCTGGTGATTATTTCTCTAGCTCTTCCACCCCTTTCTATTAATGCATTCAAGTATTTTTCTTGGTGATATCAGTATTAAAAATATCATTCTTAATGTTCATCTAATAGACACACCTGTAAAACCGCAGTGCTATCTCAGGTTGGTCTGAATAAAAGTGGTTACTACCAATGCATGCAATGGCTTCCACATGAGTGTTGTCTTGTTTTAAGACATCTTTGTAGTACTCTGAAGCTGAGGAGATGTTGTTCATTTCCTGAAAATAAAAAATTGCATTTATAAGATACTTATTTTGAAGCCACTAGTAATTCTTATTTGTACCACTTATGATAATCTTTATATTGTTTAATCTGCTGAGTTCATTAGAGCTCATAGATAAAAACACCAAAGAACTAGCACCCTTTAAGGCTGATTTCTGTGTCCTGTTCTCTGAACATAAAGTATAACCAACATTTTGGCTTCATAGTAAAATATACACTGACTTAAATGAGTATAATGCCAGAAAACATTTTACTGATTCTAAGTCATGGATTAATAGTGCACAGTTGTGACAAGTACACTTAAAGGTACATCTGGTGTTTTCCAAAGTCTGTTTACAATAGTTACTATGTGCAAATGCTGTTTATACATGCCATGGCAACTCCAGCATTGTATGATAGTTCTAGGCTGCAGGACTCATACTCCGAATTGTTTACCCAGGTATACCCTCTAAAAATGTAATGTTTTGTGGAATGGTTACCTTCAAAGTACCATATTTTCTTACATATAATCCACACTTTCCCCCTACCCCCTGTACCTAGCTGGTAGAAATTGGGGTGTGCATTATATATGAAAAACGTTGCTCACCATGTGTTCAGAAATTTGGCAGCAAGAAAGCAGTGGCAACGTTAATTGCTGCACCTCTAGGAGGTTTGCAATGTCAAATTTCTAGACTTGTGAGGAACCCCTCAGGTCAGATGACATGACCCTGCACACCAGACTGGGCTGGTGCACAGGGTCGGTCCATAGCTTGACCCAGCACACTGCATTTGGGGCTGCACACTGCGTCAGGCTGGACTCAGAACTTTTAAAAATTCAGATAACATGGCCACAAAGACAATGATACAACTGTTATCTCAATTTCTCTCTCTCTAAACTCAAAGCACTTTAAAATGGAATTAGATTTGTGCTTGGAGAACACAGGTGAGTTGGAAGATACCAGATACGGCTCTTGGACAAAGAATGCATGATTTCCTTCTGCACATTTGTGTTTGATATAACATCACTACCATCTGTCAGTGTTCAAGGTACATCAGTACTCCTTCTTTTAATGATTGCTTTCTATTTATGCAAAATAAGATCTTATTACATCTGCCTACAATGAAATAATTCTTAAAATTAGTTCCATTTAAAACCCCCATACTATTTAAGCAACAAAACATTTACACTTTAGTGATTTTTCCTAACTTAATTAATTCAAAGCGACTTATGGTACTAATAAAGGTAGCACAGATCTGCAGACTATCCTGCAGTTTAATCCTACCAACAGGCTACTGGTGACTCAAACATGTGTTTCTTCTGTTTTAGACCAATGAACTTTATGAACCATACACAAACCTGTCTGGAAATAAACCCACATTAAATCAGGTGATTTGTTTCTATACATCAGAAAAGGAAACACATGAAGCATCTGGTATATCTAACTACTTGAACAAAAAAACCTGCAAAGAAATCATGATTTTCATAGACACTTTTTGTTGTATAACATAACTTGTGCTGTTAGCAACACAGCATTTTATCAGTAATAAGCAGAGTGACTTTCTGACGACCATGCAAATATACTGAAGTCCTACTTCTTTCTTTTATTTAGGAAGCTAACCTTCTCTGTGTTAGAGGCCACATAATATGCACATACCTCGTGGATTCTGGCAATCCCACAGAGGAGGGTCACTTCTCCAGGAAATCGATCTAATCCTTGCTTGAAAAGATTTAAAGCTGTCAAAGGTTGATCCAAGCGCAAATACACCTAAGAAAATAAAGGTGTGTAAAAACATGTTGTCTAAATGCCATGACTTGTATGATTTTACAGCTCTCTGACAAAAATAAGAATTATCTGCTGGGAGGCAGACAAGCAGTTTTGTTTGTGTGTACATGTGCTAAAAGAATAGACAGAATACGTGTGTGTATCAATTTTGTGTGGTAACATATGTTCAAATGAAGTTCATAAAAACATTAAGGTAAAAATATTGGCAATTTTCACTACATCTTTTACTACAAAAAATACATTTGAGCTGCACAAGAGACATTCTCTTCTATAATTTAGAAAACTATCTACATTATACACTGGTGCCACTTTAGAGATAGTAAATATTTACTTTAAAACTAAAGCATTGTGTGATAGGATTTTTTGCCTTTTGAAAAAAACTGGTCTCTAGGAGTGATACGAGTAGAAAAACCCATGAGGTTCAGTTTTAAATTAAGTGCATTTAAAGTTCATAAAATGAGAGATCAACATGAATAGTTACATTTCTTTAGTGAAATAGTGCACAGCACAGAAAAGCAACATTTGCAAGCTTTCTTCATTTTGTGCCTACAAGCCTTGGTCAGATTTAGACAAGATACTCTCTAGTAGTTCAGTCTCCCTGGCCAGCAGCAACAGAAAACAAAGACAATGCTGACACATGCTAACTGTGATGAGTCCTGTAAATACCAGACTGAGGGCACTGACTGTCATTGCACACACCATTTAAGTAGCAGTCAGATGGTGCAAATTTCAGATACTACTGCCCTTGAACCCACTTTTAAGTTGGAAATAAAAACATTTTGTAAGTGAATCACTCAAGCTTTCCAAATCACCAGTGGCAGAACCATAGCTATACCAATGATTCTGAACCAGGGTGCCATGAGTTCCTTGTAAGGGTGCCATTCAAAGCAAACCATATTAGCACTGTTGGGTATAAAAACCACCTACACATGATTTACAAAATCAACCCGTAAGACTACAAATAGGAATCCATAATGTCAAAAACGTTCTGCCCTGTTATGGTCTTTCTGCGTTCTTTGCAACAGAAGAACAGCTCTAGTATTTTTCTGCAGTCAAGAAATGACTGGAAGCTAGGTGCTGGCATTTTCTAAGGGGTGCCTTCAATCTAACACAGTTGAGAACCACTGGGCTACACACATTTCAGAATGAAGCAAAATCTCTTGAGAAAGCTTCTTCTAGTGGAATGACATTTTAATATAATGCTTGATCCATCAGCCACGGAAAATTAGCTGGCATTGCTGCTCTCACTTAACATAATGGTAAAGCAGTGGAGCAAAGCACCGATAGTGCATCATAAATTAAAGCACCACCACAACTAGCAACAACTCTACTTCAACAACTATACTTTTGGATATCCTATACAAAATTTTGAGTAGAATTCGTTATTGTCACAATTTTTAATTAACTGTATACAAGATATGCTACTTAACGCATACACAAAACAGTCTTCTTTGAACAGTGATAGTGAGGCGATTTTAAGGATGGCATACATTTCTTCAGTAAGGGGCTGCGATTTTAAGCTGATCACTACAAAAGCAGTGGTAATTGTAATACCAGAATCAGAGCAGTAAAGCCGGTATTTGCCTAGCATAGTGGTTCTCAACTTCTTTACACTCAAAGCACCACTCAATAGATTTGAAGAACCCCCTGGTAGATTTGAGGAACCCCTGAAAAAATGCTAGGTCTTTGTTTTCACTCTTTTTGACTAAAGAAGAATAATTTAGCAATGCTTTTGTTGTTATGAACTCAGATTACAACAAGTGAGAATTTTTTTAACATTATGAATTCCCATGTGAAGTCTCTGGGCATGTCCAGATGAGTGCACGTGTGGTATGTAGCAGTGCAGACCCATCTGTGGCACTGCAAACTGCACATGCTGCACATGCAGGCATTCATCATGCTGCTAACTTGCAGCGCAGCAGGGGGTTTTTTTTTAACACTGGGACATCCCAGTGTCAAAAAAAACCCTGTGTCTGAAAAAAGCAGGGTAGTGCATGTGGTGGCAGCATGGCCAGCTGGAGCCATGCTCCATGCGCTAGATCACTGCTGCTGGAGCCCTGGCAAGTCCCCAGGACCCCAGGTAAGGCTGCTGGAGCCAGCTCCAGAGCTGGCCCCAGCCTCCCCTACCCCACCTGGGGCACTTGCCACACGCTAGAGCGCACGTACATGAGCATTCCTTGGGGGCAAGTAGCAGCGGCACAACTATCTGCTGCTGCTGTTTGTTCCTGGGGAAATGCACATGCATGCTTGCCTGGATGTGCCCTCTTGGTTTATCTTGTGAATCATGTTTGTGCACCCAACAGTGCTCACTTTGTATGGTACCTCTGAAAGGATTTTAGGGCATCCCAGGATCAGTGTTCCCTCTAAGCTGCGCAGCGTGCGTAGCTGCACAGGCATGCCTGGCAGCGCAGCATAAGCGTACCCGTGCAGCCGCACACACCACACAGCTTAGAGGGAATGATGCCCAGGAGGCCATGGCACCCTGGCTGAGACTCACTGGCTCAGCATCTCTTCTATTAAAATGAAAAAGTAACACCTGCCTGGGAGGAAAGGAATAGGAAAGAATGACACTGACTTTTTTTTCTTTGAATGCTTGTCTAGACCCTGACTGCACCAAGTGACACTATCAACTAAGTACACATTTTAAGCAGTGGGACACCAAAGGTGCCTATACATGAGCAGGGAGGCTGCTCCAACATGTTGTAATTACCAATTAATCAAGTCTGCAGGAGCATGGTAATTACTATGCTCCAGCAGCCTCTGGAGTCTCATGTATCAGCATCCACACTTCGCAAAATGTTGGTGGGGTCGCTTTATCTAAACCTCATTGAGTGAGCTGTAGATAAAGTGCTACCACCATCATTTTGAAGTGTGTGGACACCGATGCACAAGATTCTGGAGGCTGCTGGAGTACGGTAATTTACTGTGCCCCCACAGTAATTTAAAGTGATGAATGAGCTTTAGATAAAGCACCCCGACTGCCGTTTTGAAGTGCGGGGATGCTGATACACAAGACGCTCCAGGCGCTTTTAAATACACCAGCTCTCGGAGCCACTTCACCCATCATCCGACTGCAACTAATAAGTTTTTTTAACAGTGCACAATGTTACACTGGAGTTTAGGATAACACATGAAGAATTCTGTATCCTAATTGGGCTGGAGGAGTGATTTATTACAA